TCTCTCTCTCTCTCTCTCTCTCTCTCTCTCTCTGTCTCTCTCTCTCTCCCCCTCTCCTCTCTTCTCTCTTTTCTCACACACAAACACACACACACACACACACACACACACACACACACACTGGAATGTCAAAAAATTTAAATTCCTCTAATTTAATTGCACTAACAATTTAAAACCTTTTAGCAGTTACAAAGTCCTTTGCCCTTTATTTCTCAGGACAAGGAGATTTTTCAAGGGGAAAAAAGAAAGCCGTGTAATCCTGAAATTCCCAAAAGGTTGCGTGTGCCTGCTCTAAGGCTGATAGCTGCACCATGCATGTGTGTTTGCCAGCTAAGGCTGAGTTCTCCCCTGACACTCTGCCAGTGAGAGTAAGAAAAACCCAACCAAGAGGACCTGAGTCCTAATGTTCCTTACCAAATCGTTCGTCCCAACGCTTTAAGCCATTGACTCAAGTCAGTGGGCCCTACTGTGCATCCTGATTCAGTCAGAAACAGAGGAGGGTGGAGAGATGTAATACAGTATACCTAGATACATACAGATGTATGTTTTCACTGGGAAGAGTGGGCTCTGGTACATGAAACCAAATAGGAAAAATTACAGAATGGTGAACAATGAAGTGATAAATTGGAAGGTGTGAGTTCCTTTAAGAGTTCAGAGAAACAGGGGAGCTCTGGTGACCTAGGGGTAAGGAGCTGCAACTACAATCCCAGAGGCGCACGGTTCGAATCCACCAGATGCTCTGCTGGGGAAGGAGGGACAATCTCCTCCTGTACTAGTCAGATCTGATTTGATGGTACACACACAAAAAAATAATAAAATAAAAATTTTAAAGAAAAGAAAAGAAAAGAGTTCAGAGAAAGGAGGTTAGAGTCAATAGGAAGGATTTATGGAGGCACTAAGACATGAATGCATGGGATTGGAATGGCTGAGGAGAGGTACAAGACTATTTCAGAAAACTTGAGTGAACGCAGAATTGAGAATAATCCTGGAAGGTACAGGACCAGATTCAGGCCCTGCTGGATCTCATGCATCCTCATGAAGTCTGTGACCCCGTGCCAGTCAGCTGGGCCTGAATCTGCTCCTGGGAGTTGCCAGGTTCAGTGTCAACTCTGCTCTCACTCACGCTTTCCAGAATGCACTTGTGCAAGGCAGACCCATATCTTTGTGTTTTCAGGGTGGTAGGAAGTGTCCCATTTTATAGATGAGAAAATAAATAGAAAGCCCCGCAAGAACAGGGGGCTTGTTTTATATACTTAATGTATCCAAAATGCCAGCATTGTAAATAACTTAAAAAAAAACCAAACAAACCAACAACACACAATTGTCAACGAGTTAATTCTCATTGGTGGCCACCCCATGTCTGTCAGTGAAGATCTGGACACTGAGGGTTTCCAGTAGCCAGTTTTTTAGAAGTAGGTCACTCAGCCTTTGTTCCAAAGAACCTCTGGAGGACTTGAATCACCATCCGTTTGGTTAGTAACCATTTGGTCCACCAGAGGCTCCATACTCAACAGTTATTAGGTGATAGTGCAGCAGCTCAAACCCAGGGGCTGTAATACCGGCTTTGGGATTTAAAAAAAAATCTATCTAGAAAAGACTTCCTTGTGGGATATAACTGGAGAAAGAGGTGGAGAGGCCACCAAGTTTATGCAGCATTTGGGCATAGGGCCCAGAAGCCAAGCTAAGGAAGGAGTATGGACTTGCTCCATCTATTTAAAAATAGTAATAATAATAATAATAAAGAGCTCTCCTTGCATCTTAAGCCAAGGAGTGACAATGGATGCGGGAAAAAGCTGGTGCCCCCTTTTCGATCCAGGAATGTCCTCTTGTGGGTAGGTGAGTGGGCGAGCATTCAGCAGGAGTTCCTCCACTGGCCACTTGGTTCTGGCAGTGAGATGTTCCCAGTCCCTAGCACTGTCCCCAGCTGACCCGAGACGAGCAGTGTGGCCCAGGAGGTGAAAGGACAGGAGTGAGTGGGGTTTTTTTTCTCTTCCTTAGGCATCTAAAGAATATGATGAAGACTCCCTCATCCCCAGCAGCCCCGCCACAGAAACCTCAGACAACATCAGCCCCGTGGCCAGCCCGGTCCACACAGGGTGAGTCACCACCCTGGTGCAGGGGGACACCTGGGACTCTGGGGTGTCCTCCTTCTGCCCTTGTCTCAGAAAGGCTGAAAATGACCCTGTCTGTGCTCTTAGGTTTTTGGTGAGCTTCATGGTTGATGCCCGGGGAGGCTCCATGAGAGGAAGTCGCCACAACGGCCTGAGGGTGGTGATCCCACCTCGGACCTGTGCTGCACCCACCCGCATCACCTGCCGCCTGGTCAAACCCCAGAAGCTGAGCACACCACCCCCACTGGCCGAGGAGGAGGGCCTGGCCAGCAGGATCATTGCCTTGGGGCCCACGGGGGCCCAGTTCTTGAGGTGAGGGATTGCTCTTGCTGGGTACGCATGTGCAGAATGCGCTCCCAGTCAGTGCCGGCCCCACTGGAGCCATAGAGGAGCCCCTGCAGCCGTGCTCAGACCACCCGATACAGGCTTGGAGCCCACACGGAAGCAGAGCCGGGAGCTTGATCCCTCTCACCACCTGTCCCTATCTCCATTAGAGAGGTCCTGTACCGCTGGAGTGTAATACCTCTTGCTATGCCAGTCTAGGTAGAAATGGAGTAGAAAGAAGGATTTCTTGGGAGGCTTCATGAGGTTACTCATTTAAGGACTAAAATAGTCCCACGAGAAGGCAGACCCAACAGCAGTGCCCTCAAAACAAGATGAATGAGCTTCGGGGTTATTTTCTCCTCAGCAAACCAAAGTTCTCTTTGTAGATTTTTTTTTATTTTTTTTTTAAAAAAAAGGCAGCTCAAGCACGTTTGGGTGTACTACTGTTCCAGGCAGGTCTTGACCAAGTTTCCCCCCTTTTCCATCCCAGTCCACTCTCCTGTCCCACCTCCATGTCACTCTCCACCTTTTATTTGTAAAGCAGCCTATAGAGTGATTTTCCCTTCCCGAGTCAATGGTATAGTCTGCCCTTTAGGGATGAACTAGCTGAGGCCCAGGCATTTCCGTTTCAGGCCCAAGGGCAGAAAGGGCTGAGCTCACTTTCCACTACTCTGAGAGCTTGGTGGCAAGCAAGCGGGGCTGTGGGACATCCCAGGCACCCAAAAGCTAGTGCATTCCACCTGAGAGGTCTGCCAGCAGGTGGGGAGGTGGGCCTGACTGCCCTGCCCACCTGCTCATCCCTGTGTCCATGATAGACATGTCTATATTTTACCTCAATTCTCTGCTCTGTCCCTGCCCCCAGCCCGGTGATTGTGGAAATCCCCCACTTCGCCTCCCACGGCCGCGGGGACAGAGAACTGGTGGTTCTGAGGAGTGAAAATGGCTCTGTGTGGAAGGAGCACAAGAGCCGCTATGGAGAAAGCTACCTGGATCAGATCCTCAATGGGATGGACGAAGGTGATAACCCCTGAAGGTGCCCGGGGAGGATGCTTGCTCTTCCTGGAGATGAGATTTGAGAGTAACCTCAGTGGGATGGACATTTGACACTGCCGATCATTTTGGGATGGGCATTTGAGGCTGCCTGGGGCTTGAGGGACCCTGAAAGGCCAGAAATAGCCCAGTTTGACTAAGCTCCAGGTGCCTAGAATATCTGAATGGACACTTGGCCCTCATCTGCAGGTCTCAGCACCTTCACTGACCTCGACCCAGGCCTTTCTCTTAGCTGAATCCCGGGGGGAGGGCAGATGCATCTAATCAAGATTGAGGAGGCTTTGGGGACACAGTGCGGTGGTGACCCCATGGTGAGAACACTGTGTGATCGCAGAGCTGGGCAGCCTGGAGGAGCTGGAGAAGAAGAGGGTGTGCCGTATCATCACCACCGACTTCCCCCTGTACTTCGTCATCATGTCACGGCTCTGCCAGGACTACGACACCATCGGCCCCGAGGGAGGCTCTCTGAAGAGCAAGCTGGTCCCCCTGGTGCAGGCGACCTTCCCAGAAAATGCTGTCACCAAGAGAGTGAAGCTGGCTCTGCAGGTGACACGCCCTCCCAGGCCAGTTGGGACACCTTCTTCTTGGAGTCCATGGGGGAGTGGAAGGTCTCTCACCCACGGGAAGAGGGTGCCTTGTTCCCATGGCCCCAGTTCTGCAGCCCTTTACATTCCAGCATCAGAGCTGGTCTTCCACCCCAAGAGAGGATAGGATGGGGTGAAGATGAGGCGAGTGTCGTGTTAACGTGCAGAAAGCCCCAGATAAGGCATAACACCTCACCACCAGCTGAGCTCAGGAGAGGGGGTTCCAGAACCTTCCTGGAGACTGTCAGGTGGAGCAGAGGAGAGGTGGTGTCCTGGGAATGGGAGGCAGCTGTGCAGAGGGGAGAAGCCAGAGTGGAGACGATAGGATCATTTTGTGGTGAGAACTGGGACCAGTGGCACAACCAGTAGCTGTGAAGACCTGGAGAGGAGCTCTACTCTGACTTGATAAGCTCCACTCCCCGCTTGGGGACTCTGTGGCCACCTCCTGTCCAGCAAACTCCTCTCCTGATCTGGAGCTGAGCATCCTACCTTTAACATTCTCCAGGCCCAGCCCGTTCCCGATGAGCTAGTTACCAAACTCCTGGGCAACCAGGCCACCTTCAGCCCCATTGTCACTGTGGAACCCCGGCGCCGGAAGTTCCACCGCCCCATAGGCCTTCGCATCCCGCTCCCTCCATCATGGACAGACAACCCTCGGGACAGCGGGGAGGGCGACACCACCAGCCTGCGCCTGCTCTGCAGTGTAATTGGTGAGAATGTGCTTCTGTCCTCCCTCACCCCACTTCTTCTCTGGCCAGAGCTCCTTCCCAAATGTGAAGTGGGAGCCGGGGAGCCAGCCCTGTACTCATCGTTGATGTCTTCTGGGGTGGTGTGCTCTTGGAAGAGAGAGGGAGGTGACATCTGAATTAAACTCCAAACCCTGTGTGAGAGCCCCTAGCCCCTGTGGTCTGCAGCAGATGACCAGCAGGTGAAGGGTGGAGCGAGAAAGTAAAGTGTCCAGAGCCACAGACAATGCGAGCCCCAGCCAGATATGCCCGTTTCTGCCTCTACATCCAGTTCTGGACGTTTGTGTAGGCACCTTGTAAAGAAATCCTCTCAGTCCCACTTCTGTTCCCATTGCAGGGGGAACCGACCAAGCCCAGTGGGAAGACATAACAGGTACAACCAAGCTGGTGTATGCCAACGAGTGCGCCAACTTCACCACCAATGTTTCTGCCAGGTGAGGGGCTATCTCAGTCCAGCTAGTGACCCCTAGTCCCCAGATAAGGGGAATTGGTGCTGTCCAGGCAGACAGCACCCTCGAACCTCAACATTGCCCCTCATTCCTTCACTCCCTCTCTCCACTTAGAAAAAACTGTCCTGGGGTACCAGGAGCATTAAAACTCAAACTCCTTGACATCAAGTTAGAACCAACTCATAGTTGACCCTGCAGTGGATTTTTGAGAGCCTGTATATCACATGAGAGGAAATTGTGGCCTTTCTCCTAAGGAGCTGCTGGTGGATTCAGGCCACCAGAAGGCTGTGCCTTTGGGCTGGTTGGCCTCCCGTATAGACAGTTCCCATCTGGGTGGAGGTGAAGCTCTTCAGTGGGCATCTAAGAACATACTTTATAACTAAACCAGTTGATTCTAACTCCTGGAGACCCCATGTATGTATGCGCTGTGCTCCACAAGGATTTCAGTGTCTCTTATTTTTGGAAGTAGATCACTCGGTCTTTTTTCCAGGGTGCCTCTGAGTGGATTTGACCCTCCTACTTTGCATAACAGCCAAGTGCCTTCCCTACCTGAGGATTCCACTTAATAAGGAGCCCTCCCTTTCTAGGTTTTGGCTGTCGGATTGTCCTCGGACTGCTGAGGCCGTGAACTTCGCCACTCAGCTGTACAAGGAGCTCACTGCGGTGCCCTACATGGCCAAGTTTGTCATCTTTGCCAAGATGAATGACCCCCGAGAAGGGCGGCTTCGCTGTTACTGCATGACAGACGATAAAGTAGACAAGACTTTGGAGCAGCATGAGAACTTCATTGAGGTGGCCCGGAGCAGGGACATCGAGGTACGGCTCCTGCTCCCTTTGTTCCCGGCCACTCTCACAGCCTCCTCATGTCTCACATCGAGACAAAAACCTCTGGAGCTTGGATTCCCTGGGAACATCGTGACCCCACTGTGACCCACACTGTGATCCACTGTGGTTAGGAAACCTTACCTCTGTGGTGGAGGTTTCTAAGCTGTGTCTCTTAGATTCCATTCTCTTTACTTACTAATATTTTTATCATTCACCTACGTTCCCTTTCTGAGAAATGTCCCAAAGAACCTTTGACAAAAGCGAGGAAGGTTTCAATGTGCATAGAAAGCAGCAGAGCCTATGAATTGTGATGGTTGAAAACGAAATAAGAAAAACTCATTGCTACTGAGTTGGCTCCGCTCATAGGTGACTGTGGGTTCCTGAGGCTGTATGTTGCTCAGGAGGAGAGATTTCCCATCTTCCTCCATGGGAGTCGCTGGTGGGGGTGAGCCAGCAGAGGCGTGGCCTTTGGGGAGCAACACGGCTCCTTACGGACCACGCCCCCACTGTTGCTTTGTGATGTTCAGCAGCCGCCATTTATCGAGCCCGTAGGTACCAACCCCATTGCCACTGAGTTGATTCTGACTCATGATGACCTCCAGCTTTCCAAAATTGCCAATCGACAGAGGGGCACTCACTGCCCGCCCTTCTCCCGAGGAGCAGCCGGTGGATTCAAAGTACAGATCTTTAGGTCTACAGCCCAACATGTAAAGTGTTCCGCTGCCCGGTCTCCTTTCAGAGGCACTTATTCTCTTTGGGCCTGAATTTCTCAACTGTGAAATGAGTTGAGGGGCCCTGGTGGCACAGTAGTTAAAAGCACTCAGCCGCTAACCTAAAAAGGTTGATGGTTCAAAACAGCGAACTGCCTCTGCAAAGTAAGAAGAGTCCAGTAACCCTCCGAGGCAGTGCCCCTCTGCCCTGTAGGGCTGCTGTCAGTCAGAATTGGTTTGTCAGCAATAGGTTTGGTTTGGGGCTTTGGTCAAATAGGTTACTACTCAGTTGAAAACGTTATATAGACACCTGGGATCATTATCATGTAGTTGTTGTTGTTGTTGTTGTTGTTGTTGTTGTTGTTGTTGTTTGAATAATGTCAAGTCAGACCAACCCCTAGCTGCCTTCCACAACAGCGGGTTTTCATATGGGAGAAGATGGCCCATCTTTCTCCTGCAGAGCAGCTTGCTGATGGATTCAAACTGTGTGCCTCTGGGTTGGCAGCACAACTCTTTACCACTAAGCTACCAACACTCCCTAGTATGGGTGAAATTAAAAATATAACATGGTCCTTCTCATACTTCTCATAAATCTAAAATATGTGGATGAACATAAAGTGGATTCACGTTTTTGGAAGCCAAATTCTAATATGTAGAATACTCTACTAGCAATTAGCAATCCTGTTGATTTTCAAAACCTTTCTATTATAAAAATGGCTCAAAGTGAGGAAGCATGCTTCATTCACAATACCTTTGGAAAGAAAACATTTTCCAAAACAGAATTTCTTAAGAGTAAGCTATCTGTGTTCCTTTGAGGAAAGGGTGTATGTATTTGGGAAGGGAACCATCAATGTGTAAAGTCAGGTTGCCTAGACATGTCACCTCACAAGTTGCATTTGCTTTTTTCTTCCTACAGGTTCTAGAAGGAATGCCACTATTTGCAGAACTCTCTGGGAACCTAGTACCTGTCAAAAAAGCTGCCCAACAGCGGAGTTTCCACTTCCAATCTTTTCGGGAGAACCGTTTGGCCATCCCTGTGAAGGTGCCAGCCTCGCTTGCTAACCTCTCCTCTGAGTCAGGAAAATGTGGGCAGCAGAAGTCTCTAAACCTGCTGTGCTGGTGGCCTGTAAAACAGATCCCTGAACCTTCTGTGTGATTGGATTTAGGTGCGGGACAGCAGTCGAGACCCAGGAGGCTCCTTGTCATTTCTGCGCAAGGCGATGAAGTATGAGGACACCCAGCACATTCTCTGCCACTTAAACATCACCATGCCTCCCTGCACCAAGGTGAGTTGGTTGGTCCACCTGGTGAGGACCTTCAGCTAAAGGTGATGTTCCCTCAGAACATCCCCAGACAGATCCAGATTGAGCTCTTCCACAAGCTTCTTCCTATTGAAAAAGCGGCATTTGATTTCCTTTAGGTACAGAAAGGTTCTTTGCTCTTCTCTAAATATTTATTTGCCTATGGCTTAGCAGAGAAAACATGCAGAGCTAAGTTACACTGGCCGTGTCATCTGAAGCGCAGACCATCAGTGTCACAGTAGGCAAGGCACGTTTGCTTCATGAACCTGAGCTCTCGAAGCTCAGAAAGGTTAGAAGGAACCTTCAAAGCATCCTTCTTGGCTTCCCTCCTCTGAGGCCTCAGAGGCTTAACAACAAGACCCAATTGCTCAAGGTAGTTGATTAGAACTACCCTTGGGTAGTTCTAATCAAACCTCTTTTCCATGAGCTTGCTCATTTCCCCAGGGGTGCCAGACCCTCAAAAGCAGGGCACCCTAATATCCTCAGCCCTGCAAACAAAAAGGTTTTTTGAGCTCTGCAACAGGTTATTGACCAAGTATGTGCATTCACTGCTACCTGTAAGAATATCAGAGTTACCACCTATATGAGAGACTTGGGAGGGATCATGGTGTCTCCATGTCTTTTTATTATTGGCGTTCTCTTGTGGTCGCCTTCCCAATCATTAGCCTCCCCATTAAGCTGGAAAAGAAGCAGGGTTCCTGTCACACACTCCTGACTCAAAGTCTCGGTCTTGAGAGCCACCGTGAACCAGCTTCTGCTTCAGAAGAGGATCTCTTGCAGCCTGGGCAAGTGTCTGTGTGCTTCCCATAGTGCCAAGCACTAAGCTGACAGCCTGGAGCCAGTATCAGAGTTGGATCCTTTAAGCAGCAAGGAGGAAGCTCTAGTGGGGTGTCCACTAAGAGTAGTGCTGCTAACCTGACGGTGGCCTCTCTGACGGTTTGGATCCACCGACGGCTCCAAGGCTGAAATATGGACAGTCTCCTCCCATGTGATTTACAGCCTCTGAAAATCCACTGACGGCTCAGCTACGAACCAATTCCAACTCTACACCTACGAGTTGAGTTGAGTTGAAGTAAAAAAGAATCCAAACTTGGTTTTGAGTTTGAACTTCGGCTCCACTACTTGTTAGCTGAATGACCTCGGACAATTTACTTAACTTTCTCAGTGCCTCTGTTTTCCATTAATGAAATGGGAATAGAAGCAATACCTAATTCATAGGTCCTAACCAGGGCTTCACTCCTGATGAGTGCAACAGAACTTTGCCATTGTTATTATTATTGATAAGATAGATGAGCTTTTTCAACAATTCTTTTCTCTCATCTCTTGTTCAAGTTTTTTTGTTTGTTTGTTTTTATTGTTTTTTTTAACTGGGTTGTTTACAGTGTTCATATACACTGTATTTCACACTATTCTTCATTCACATTGTGTTCCATACAGTAACTCTCATGCATTACGCTTTATAAAACCAATCACCATTGGACCTAGCCCATCAGTACCCTGTCTTTTCATCCAGATCTTTCCCATTTCCTTGCCCCCACCTCCACCCACCAAACTATGAAACCCTGTGGTTTCACCACTACCCATCCTCAGCCCACCCTCCCTTTTTAAATTCCCATATATGTTTCACTAGTTATCCTTCTATTTTTACAATAATGGTCTTATGCAGTGTTTTTCTTTGTGAGTCTGCATTAGTTCACCCAGCCTCTCTCCCAAGTTACAAAGTATTTTTCAAAATCAGTGCTCCTGCATGCTGCGTAATATTCCATTGTGTGAATGTACCACAATTTCTCAATCTATTTGATTGTGGTTGGACATTTGGGCTGTTTCTGTATTCTTTGGTGAATAATGCTGATATGAACAATGCTGTACAAATCCCAATTTGTGTCTCAGCTCTCATTTCCTTGGTGTCCAATTTCTTTTTGTTATGCATCCAAAGAAGTGGAGCTACTGTTTACCAAAACCAGAGACATGTCATTCTCCACCTCCACAACAGAAGGGCTCAGATCCTCTTTGCTGAGACCAGGGAATAGCTCAGGACTCAAGTCACCCTTTCCTCTCCATTCTTCTGCAGGGGAGTGGAGCTGATGATAGAAGAAGGACTTTGACACCGTTGGCCTTGCGATACAGCATTCTCAGTGAATCAACGCTGGGTATGGCCCTCTTTATGCTGATATATGCTCACTCTTTCCAAGAAAATTGTGAATGAGATCAAATTCCCTCCCCCTGGCAAGGACTGTAGAGACTTAATAGGTGATTTGAGCTCATCTTGCTGAGATGAGGGCCGGTGGTTTGAACCCCCCGGCAGAAGGAAGTCTGTATGGTCTTCTTCCATAATGTCTGCAGTCATGACGATCGTATGGAGCATGATTCTACTCTGTAACCCATGAATCAGAATTGACTTGGTGGCAGTGGGTTTACCAAGGGGTCTGTCATTGAGGAGGATTTATTCAGCCCACTATGGACACAGGATGTTGAGAGTTGGCACCGATTTCCACCTGGCCCTCACAGTATACCCTGTCCATCCAGGGTACACTGATGCCCATCGTGTGGCCTGACCATGCACCAGCTGTCATTCTCCACACTTGCCAAGGTTGTACTAAGATTACCTAATGAATTCCTCTGCTTCTTTCTTTCCAGGATTCCTCAGCGGGACAGATCGTGCAGACATGAAAATGGCTATCATATCAGAGCACCTTGGTCTCAGCTGGGCAGGTAAGCCTGGGAATTTGGGATGTTCAAGCACTCTGTTTCATGTACCCTTATGAGGGCTCCCACTTGAGCTGCTGGTGAAAATGTTCCCGAGGCCCTCTTCACCCCTCTGCTGTGAAAGAGTGATGGTCTCGCACAAGTCTGTTGCTCAAGCAGAGTGTGCATGCCAGCAGGAAGGGGGCACGCTCTCCTTCCTCAGATTCTCTTTGGTTTCCCCTCATCCGCCTTTGATAATCTAGGAGGCCTAGATTATCTACCACATCTCTTTTTGCTGATGGGAAAGCAGATCCACCTAAATAGAGTAATATTGTTGTACAGCTTGTGACAGAGGCCAGAGAAACACCACTGACCAGAAGAACTATGCCTCCTGGCTAGCAGTCCCCTGCTCCTTCGGCTGCCTTCATTGTCTCCCCAAAGTCTGGTCTCTTGGAGGGAGAGGCAGGAAGAAAAGGGAAAAGATTTTATTCCCCCCTATTAATATCTTTGGCTGTAGTGGAAGTTTACCAAAAAAATCCATCAACAGTGGGAGTGGATTTTATTTAAAGGGAGATCAGTGGACAAAATTACATTAAAAATAAAAATTCTCACTTTTAAAAATTGTGGTTTATTTTAATCCAAACACTGATCCTGTGACTTAATTTCCCATTTTTCTTGGCTAACTTTTCATATGAATGAACACCCACTCAGTCACCCCATAGAGTACTTTAGACACATCCAGAAATCCAGGGACAATTCATTCACTAAACCGTCATAGCTTTACTGCTCTTCAGAGGCCCTGGGTGATGCAAATAATTATCACACTCTGCTGCAAACCCAAAGGTCCCCAGGTCAATTCCATCTGAGGATTTTTGGGGGGAAAAGTCATAGAAAAATCATTTACTACTGAAAGTCATGGAAAACTCTAAGAAATATGACTCTGATGTATGTAGAGTTGCCATGGGACAGGCTCTGTTGAGTGGCCGCTGGTTCATGCTCACTGGGTTCTGCTACGTCTTGGGGTGGGGGTGTAGGCGTGGTGCGTGGCTGTTCTGATTCTCATCATTGCTTTCCCTTGAATCCTCCTCATCCTTGAAAGTAAACTGTGAGGCTGTTTTTCCTTTTAAAGCACCTGTGAGATATAACAATAAAAATAATGGGCAAGAGGAGGGGGGAAGGAGCGCTAACATTCCATGTTATTGCCTTGCATTTAGATGGTAATTTGTATTTTCCTTTTAAATGTAAATAATACCTTTCCCTGAAGAAACATAAATACAGAGACACAGAGTTACCTCAGTGCATTCTGGTTATAATTGATTCTTGGGAGAAGGAAGTGGCATTTGCAAACAGGAGTGTGACTAGGAGGAACTGGCAGGCTCAGGGATGCTCCTGGCTTTTACATTCACTTGCTCTGTGACCATGGACAGCTTGCTAACTTAGCCGAGACTCAGTCTCATCTCCTCACAGTCGGTGTAGTGGAGAGAAAAAGGCATTCATTGATTCATTCATCCGCTATTTTTTGAGCACCCTATATTCAACCCATTTTCTAGGAATGCAAAGATGTGAGTGATTGCATTGCCCTTAGTATTTTTTGGTAGGTTTTTTGTTTGTTTGTTTGGTTGGTTGTTTTTTTTTAAAAACCACATCAAGTCAAACTCCTTGCTGTTGAGTTGTAACTGACTCATAGCATGTCATCCAGTGGGTGTTCAGAGGCTGAAAGTCCCGTGGGAGGAGCTCCATCTTCCATGGAGCTGCTGGTGGATTCGATCCAGCAGAGAGGCTCCACCTCCGGTTAGCAGTGCAGCTCCCTACGGACTGTGCCACCAGAGCTCCCTACAGCTCAAACTCATTGCCATCAGGTTGGAAACTGAATACTCACAGCTGACCCTACGCAGGGTTTCTGAGCCTGTAAATCACACAGGAGGAAGTTGTCCATATTCCTCCCACAGCCGCTGGTGAATTTGAACCTCCAGACAGGCACCTTCTTTAGGTTAACAGTGCAACAACATGCTATGGACTACCCCACCAGAGCTCCCTGAGAAATGATAGTCTAAAGGAGAATGATTGCTGGAGTGTCTGTACTTCCCAAATCCCTCCCCCGTGCGCGCGCGCGCGCGCGCGCACACACACACACACACACACACACACACACACACACACACACACACACACTGCTAGCCTGTGAACTGGAGCTGAGCTAAATAGGTCTAAATTGGCTCGTGTCTGGTCTTCTCTTGCAGAATTGGCCCGGGAGCTGCAGTTCAGCGTGGAAGACATCAACAGGATCCGAGTAGAAAATCCCAACTCCTTGTTGGAGCAGAGTGCAGCCTTGTTGAATCTCTGGGTCATCCGTGAAGGACAAAATGCAAAGAGTCAGTACCTTTAACATAAGGAAGGCTTCTCTTTTCAAAGCTTATGCCGCCAGGACCCACTTCATCAATTGTCATGTTAACCTTTTGAAAGAATCAATTTCTCTCTCTTTCATAATCTGTCTCTCTCCCTCCCTTTCCCTCCCTCCTCTCTTTCTCTCTTCTCTCTCTCTCTCTCTCTCTCTCTCTCTCTCTCTCTCTCTCTCTCTCTTTCTCACACACACACACACACACACACACACACAGTCTTAGTGCTGCTGTAATAGAAATAACAGTACTGATGACTTTAAAGAGACACAGTTCTTTTCACACAGTTCAGGAAGCTACAAGTACAAATTTAGAGTGAGGCTCTAGGGTGAGGTCCTCTTTGATCTCTTCCGGTTTCTGATTGTCTTTGGTAATCTTCCTATAGTGTCTAACTTAGCCCAGGTGTGCCTGTTTATATCTGTGTTGCTGTTTAAGTCACTCAGCAGTAATTAGATTTGGAATGCTCCCCACTCATATGGCATCATTAACATAACAAAAACAATTCTATTTCAGAATGAGATTACCTCCACAGAGTTAGACTTGCAGCACATTTTCGTAAGGGACGCAGTCCATAACACATACATGCGTGTGTGCGCGCGCACACACACACACACGCTGTTACACACGCCTGCTTCGTGGTCACCAGATTTTCTAAGCAGCCCTATCAGGTTATCAGAGAATTTTGGTCTCAGTCTTTCTCCTATCCTTAATATAAGAATTGCACCAAGACCCCTACATTACAGTATGTATTTCAGGGGTGTGGCTCATCTTTGAAAGCTTTCTGTTGAAACTCTTGAACAAATGAGTACTATCCTCTCAGGACAGATTTCTCGGGAGCTTACCCCATTGGAAGCCATCTTATGGGGACATCATTTCCTCTCACCCAAAGGAAAGATTGATCTTACACCAAACTTCCACCCAAAAAGATGCTAAAAAGAAATAGTGTTTCATTTGCATCTCAAATCAGCTGACAAGGATCCAGCATTTCAAAAGGACATGGTCCACTCCCTCTCATCCTCATTTTCTTGTAGTAGTACCCTCCATTTACAAAAGCAAGCTTTCTATGCTTCAAAATTAGCCACTGTTAGCCTTTGGGGGAAAAATTGTTTAAGTGCTATGAAGAAAAGAAAAAAATTCCCCAAGAGGTAGTTTATTTTGATTCCTACTAAAGAGGGATGCCCCTGTCTTCTGAAAATAGAAACCATCTCCCATCTCACATCCTCCTCTCCTGGCCCGATTTTCAGAGCCCATGCCACTTTCCCTTGCTGCCCTACAGTAATGAGAATTCGCTGCCTAAGCTCCTGTTCTCATCTGCTCCCTGACAGTGGAGAATCTCTACACAGCCCTGAGGAACATTGACCGCAGTGAGATTGTGAATATGTTGGAGGGCTCCGGCCGACAAAGCCGCAACCTGAAACCAGAGCGGAGGCATGCTGACCGAGACTACTCCTTGTCGCCCTCTCAGATGAATGGTGAGTGTCTTCTGAACGAGGTGTGAGGTGTGGGCAGAGCTGGGCCCTCCCTTCCAGGAGTCAGTGCTTAATGCCCTCTTTACATGAGATTTCGTCCCTTCCTGTCTCTCTTTCTTTGGTGGGAGGTCTTTAGCACGTAACTCCCAGAGGTGAGGGAGACAGCTGTGCACTGGGAAGGCTGGCAGACTCTGTAGTGCCTCCAGCCTCTGTAAACATGTAGAGAGAGGCTCCTGACCATCAGTGACCAGGTTGGGTGCCTAACATGGACTGAGGTAGCACGAAAGAGCTTGCCCCTGTTTGTCTGCAAACTGTATAGCTCTGAACAAAGTGTGGGTCCTCTTGAGGTTCCATTGTCCCCATCTAAAAAATAAGGAGTCACAGCTATGTAATATTTCTGTTTTAAACACCAGTAACTGAGAAGAAAAGGACTTAGAAATTCTTGCCCATGGCCTGATGTAGATAAGCTGGATAGTGTTTAAAAAGATCCTTATGTGGTTGCATCTGTGAGGCTCAGGGAGCTCAGGTGGACTGGAGTATAGGAATTGTGCTACCAGTCCAAAGGCAGCCAGTTCAAATCCAGCAGCAGCTCAGAGAAAAATAGACATTCTCCTCCCATGTCATTTACAGCCTCTGAAAAGTCACTGGAGAGTCAGGTCGGAGTCAGTTCCGACTCAGTGCAAAGAATTGTGAGGCTAAGAGGTTTACTCCTTTTGAGTCCAGTCTCTTTTTCTTTGTATCTCTCTTTCTTTCTCTCTCTCTCTCTCTCTCTCCCTCCCTCCCTCTCTCTTTCTTTCTTCCTTTCTTCCTCCCTCTCTCCCTTCCTTCCTTCCTTTTTCCTCCCTTCCTTCTTTCCTTCCTTCCTTTTTTCCTTACTTCCTTCTTTCCTTCCTCTTCCCTTCTACCCTTTTTGCCTCTCATCCTTTTTTTTATATGGGTCAGCATAGCAGAAGCTTTGATGTGACTCAGCCCAAGGAAGAAGAGTCCAGGGAAGCCATTGACTTTTGCCCTCAACTTCCCACTGCTGTTTCTTCTTGTGGAGGACAGCAATTCTTGAAGCAGCAGTGGAGTCACCAGTTGCATGAAGAGCTGGGCCCTGAGGTTTACCTCCTCCTCCTCTCCTCATGCCCCCTTTCTGGTCCTCACACTCCAGCCAGTGGGTGTGGACACACAGCGGAGGCCTCACTTCAACACCAGTTCACTGGGGTGGGAACTTTGTAGGTCTGGAGGTCAGAGGCTGGGGTTCTAGTCCCTTCTTTCTGGCCAACTCCCTGTGTGGCTGAGTCATTTTCTTTTCTTTACAATCTGGAGGTCAGATTAGAGCCCTTGCAGAGCTTGAAAGGGAATTCTGTGAAATCCCTTACTCTGGAGCCTACTATGTCACCCTGGAACCTACATCATGACACTCTCCAAGTGCCCAGTTTTAATGGACTTCACAGGCCATGTACACTTGCACTGTTATCTGGTACATTCAGCCACCAGTGAGTTGGAAAGAATGACCATGGATGAGTTCTAGGTGAGGCTGGGCACTGAGCCTCCTTCTACGAGGTCCCCTGCCAGGTGGACTCTGTGCATGTCAAGCCCCTCATACTTCTCTCTCTCACTCTGTCCTGTGTCACGTGAAACATGCCATCCAGTGCCCCTGGGGACTGAGCTCATCTTATGTCAGTCATTTCCTGTCCCCTTTCTCTTCTACCTCTGACCTCATCTTGACCTCTAGTGTGCTCATTGTTGTACACCGCTGCCTCCACTGTCTCCAGCTCAGTCCCATGTCAGGGGCCGTCAGCCTCCACTAGGTGCATGTCAAGAAAGACTCCCCACCCTCTGTCCCTCACCCATCTCGTTGCTGCATCTGTGGGCGTCCATGTATGTGCATTGTGTGTGCTCAGGAGTCTGTTCTTGTGTCTCCTTGTCCTAGTTATATGCTGTGCACCATCACTCCTCAACCCACTTTAGAGGGCTCCAAGACTCTGGCACACACACGCCCTTCCCGCAGGGCACCTGGCCTGAATAGTGGCCTGAGACTGCAATGTAGATCCCTTTTATAGAGAGAAGGTTAAACAGTAGAGGTCCACTTCAAACTCTGGAAAACTCATGTCATTGGACACTTTTTCTTTCCTTTTATGATTATTGATCATTTGATAGGGTTTTACTTTTACTGTGCTTTTTACTGTGGTAAATAATAAAATTTGCCATTTTAACCATTTAGGTTAAGGTTTCTAGTGACTCCAGGGCTGTTTCAGTAAAGTCAAACCAACACATTTTATTAAGGGTGGGCACCCACAGGACAAGATGCTGCTGGAATCCCCTGAGTATAAAATAAGGTAATTATGGCCCCACACATTTGAGTCTTTTTTGGGCATAGGACTCAGCTCCCATCAGAACTAGAGACTGTAGCACTTCGTCCATGTCTAAATATCTCTGTGGCATTGTCTCTATGTGCTTCAAGATCAAAGACACTCTGAGAGATCATTTGGCAAATTGTTTAGACCACCAGTTACATACTAGGCTTAAAGACATGGAAAGCCAGGCAGTTCTCACTTAAAAAAAAAAAAAAGCTAAACTCTTGTCATCTTAGACATTCTGTTAGAAGAGCCAGACAATAACATAATATGTAGCTTAATGACAGTATTCTTGCAGATGATAAGAAATATGGAGGGGGAAAGCCTATGTAAGGGGGAGATCAGGAGTATTAGGATTGTAGAAATTAAATAGTATATGGGCAAGAGTGAGTATTTGAGCATTTAAGGAAAGACTTAAAGGAGATGAGGAAGAAAGCCATATCAGTATCTAGGGAAAGAACATTCTAGACAGAATATAGCCAGTTCCATGACCCCACGGTGGGAACAGAGGTTAGGAAATAGAAAGGGCAGGCGAAGAGGTCAAAAGGGTAGCAGGAGGCGACGCCTGTAGATTATTGTAGAGACATTAGATTTTACTGGGAATGAGATGGAAATGCCATTGGAGGATTTTGTTGCTTTTTTTTTACTATTATAATTGAATATTTCTGTATGTCCCAGCTTCTTCGTCCAATCTCAGTAAGCCCCTTCTGAATTCCATTCTCAATCTCGTTATCTCAACAGACACAGGCTGTGCGCCCCAGTGTACACCCTGCCCACATCCCAAAGCAGACACTGGTAAATAAGGGACCCAGCTTAGTTCCACTCTGCCTTTCTGGGCACCAGAATTGGGTTCTGTGTGTTTTCATGCCCTTTTCCCTATCCCAGGAAGACCATCCCACACCTGGGTGTCCTTCTGGTCTGGAAAGAAGGAATCAAGAAGGATGAAAGGTATAAAGGTGGGGAAACAGCCGCCTCGTGCAGCATGTCAGCTTTCTCTTGGGCGAGGTCACGCGATGACATGTCCTGGTGCCAGCCCAGCCTTCTAGAACACTGGTCATAGTCATCATCATAGCTCCTCTGTGCTGTACCTCATCTCTGCCTATCGGAGCCTTGTTAATGAAGCCATAGGGACTAGGGGCAGAAATGTGTTGCTCTGACCTTCCTTCCTGTGTGTCTGAGAAAATCACATGGTATCAAGGAACTAGAAATCTTAGGTCTGTTTTCCTTCTATTGTTGCACTTCTTCCCATATACACTTGGATTGGCCAGAGCAGAAGGGAGTGTAAATTTTAAAAATCCAGTGCGCTTTTTCTGCATGAGAGAGAACCACTCTGGAGCCTTAAAATAAACATGAAGGAGGGGCAGGGAAAGCACCTATAAAGCAACAAAAATAGCATGTTCCTAAATATAAAATGAAACCAATTTCTCACTTAAAAGAAAAGATGGACTTTGCATACCCATATTTGTCAGCTCCACTTGGTTTGGTGAACAAATTGGACACATGCTAATATCTACTTGGAAATAGAAGGTGTTTTATTTACTTATTTTAATTCCCAATAAACAAAGTAGGGAAATGTGGCTTCTGTCTGAAACCAGATGGTCTATCTGTCCACACCTGCCTACCTTGCTACTGATATTGAGCAACAGAAAAGGACACGTGTCACATCTGAATTAACAGAGAATTTTGGATGATACCCTGAAAAGAGGAGACACCTGAGAAGGAAGACTTCACGAATCTGTGAGAGGATAGCCCAACTGGCTGTAGTCTTCCTCAAAACAATACATATAGTTGCCTTTTATCTGATTTCTCATCCACCTCCAAAAAAAAAACAAACCTTGAGACTTCATCCTCAGATCTAGACCCAGTGGTGAGCTGGTGACTCAGGTGTGGGCCTCAGCAGAGCTTGCTATGGTCCAGTCCACCCATAGGCTGTCTTCTTGACAAGGACTTATTTAAGTCTTCATGAGCATTGTTTCAGTTTGCTAGTAGTCTCCAATAACACCTGCATACGGTTGCTTACAGTCCTCGATCCCAGGTTGTGTGGGTGTGGGAGGTGTTTTGGAAGCATGTGGGGACCATCTGTGCATACACTCTGAAGACAGGGCAGAGGCTCCAGTGTGAATAGACGCAAAGACATCCTGACGGAGAGTGTGTGAGTGAAAAAGTCACAAACGATACATAAGAATGAGCCTCAGGTCTTCTGTGGGCAGCTGAACTACTTTTCTGTCATCTTCTTTAGATCTTACTGGTGTTCCCAGGCATGATACAATTTTTATCCAGTCATCTCAGAGGTTGTTGTTGTTGTTATGTGCCGTCGAGTCGTTTCCGACTCATAGCGACCCTATGCACAATAGCCCTAAACCCTGCTCTATCCTGCGCCAACCGCACCGCCTCTGACACACCCATCCCGATTACCCTAGTCACCGAATCAATCCATCTCATAGAGG